AGGCCGAGACGGGCGGATCACGAGGTCAGGAGATGGAGACCATCCTGGCTAACACGGTGAAACCCCGTCTCTACTAAAAAAAATACAAAAAATTAGCCAGGCGAGGTGGCGGGCGCCTGTAGTCCCAGCTACTCGGGAGGCTGAGGCAGGAGAATGGCATAAACCCGGGAGGCGGAGCTTGCAGTGAGCTGAGATCCGGCCACTGCACTCCAGCCTGGGCGACAGAGTGAGACTCCATCTCAAAAAAAAAAGATTTAATATTATTAAATAGGACACAAAAAGCAATTTAAAAAATAACTAAGAGACTTGAACTTTTCATCAAAGAAACATATACAGATGGCAAATAAGCACATGCATGAGATGATGACTTGGACATAATTCATCATGAGGGAGATGCAAATTAAAACCAGAATTAGATACTACCACACACCTATTAGAATGGCTGAACTTTAAGACTGACCAAACCAAAACTTGGTGAGATTATGGGTCAAACAGAATTCTTATACACTGCTGGTGGGATACATAATACTACAATCACTTTGAAAAACAGTTTGACTGTTACTTAAAAAATTAAATATACACCTACAATATGACCCAGCCACTACATTCCTAAGTACATACTCAAGATAAATAAAAAAGCACATGTCCATACAAATACTTGTACATGAATATTCACAGCAAGCTTGTGTTCAAGTGCCAAAAACTGGAAACAAATGTCCATCAATAGTGAATGGCTAAATATTGTGATATATGCATATAATGAAATAATATCCAACAATACAAGGAAATAAAACAATATGGGTGAATCTGAAAATAATTTATCCTGAGGGAAGTCAGACAAATAAGAACGCATATTGCATAATTCCATTTATATAAAATTCTAGAAAATCCAAATTAATCTACAGTGACAACAAACAGATCAGTGCTAGCCTAGGGATCAGCATAAGGGAGGGATTACAAAGAGGCATAAGAAATTTTGGTAATGACAAATTTGTCATTATCTTGTTTGTTGTGATGGTTTCAGAGATTTAGATATATGTCAAAACTTTCTATGTGCAGTTCACTGTATGTCAATTATGCCACAATAAAGCTACTAAAAAATGATACTGACAAAACTTAGTGAAATCTACATCAAGTCAAATATTTTGAAGTAATAAATGGTTTCAAGTAAATGTTAAGGTAATAAATTATACTTTCAAAACTAAAAAAAACAAATCTATCACAAACTCCCATATAGCTAAAAAGATGCATTTTGTTTACATCTATATTGCATGAAAAAAAAAAAAAGATGCATTTTGCTATAGTTTTACCTAACCCTGAAATTAAACATAAGAAGGAAAGGAGATTTAAACCATTAAAGGAAAAAAAAAATTTTGGAATAATTTAGCACAGGAGTTAAAAAACTGCTATGCAAAGGATCAAACAGTAAATATTCTAGAACAGGGGTCCCCAGTCCCTGGGCAACAGACCTGTACCGGTCTGTGGACTGTTAGGAACCAGGCCACACAGCAGGCGGTGAGCACCAGGCCAGCAAGCATTACTGCGTGAGCTCTACTCATAGGAGTAGAATCCTATTGTAAACTGTGCATACAAGGTATCTAGGGTTGCATGTTCCCTATGAGAATCAAATGATAAATGTAATAAACTGGAATCATCCTGAAACCACCCCCCACCCCAGTTTGTGGAAAAACTATCTTCCACAAAACCAGTCCCTGGTGCCAAAAAGGCTGGGGACCACTGTTTTAGAATTTATGGGCCATATCATCTCTGTTACAACTCTTTGACTCTGTTGTTATAGCAGGAAAGTAACCATAGGCAGTATTTAAAAGAATGAGAGTGACAGTGCCACAACAAAATGTTATTTATAAAGACAAACCATTATAGAAGAGTCAGCCAAAGAAAGCAATAAAAATAAAATAGAAAAAATAAAAATAAATATGATCAAGAGCAACAATGGAAGAGCAGCCATAAACAGGAAGAAGACCTTATCTACTACTACCGTACTAGAAGTAAGCAAACAAGAACGTGCTCTAAAATACACCTTCGGGGAAAAAAGATGCAAGTTGAAATAATTCCCTCCTAACAGCTCTAATTAAGTAGACAAGGCTGTCACTGCTAACAGGAAGAGTTGTCAAAATTTAGAATTGTATCTGAAGGAATAAATAAAAGAAAAGTCTGACAATGATAGAAGTGTAGATCATGAATTTATAATAGTTTCAACATACAACACTGCATGACTTTTCCCCACCAGCCACGGTTTAGCTTAGAGTGTGCCTACCTAGACTAATCTAGGATCAGAATTCTCAAAAGCAAATCTAACAGGACAAGGGCAGATGGAAGTTTTTGTTAGAAACCACTTCCAGCAAATAACCAAGCCAAGAAGAAAGTAAACAATGGCAGATGTAGTATGACACACTAGGATAAAAAAAAAGCAGGATCACAGGACAGAAGGTAACTATGAAGCTGAAGAGCATTGGAAAGGGCAATATTAGAAAAACAAGAGATAGATGATTTTGATTAAAGAGTAAGATTGGAATTTTAAATTTATGATGTGGAAACATTCCAGTGATAAAAAGGTCTAGGTTTTTAAAATAGGAATGGATAAATTACAAAGAATGGCAGTAAGGGCAGCAAAGTTAAGGAATTTAAAAAAGTACAAAATGTGAATGCTAAGATGAGTTAGTGACAAGGACAATGAAGTTATTCACATCTAGTGAAACTGAGATAAGGCTGTGTACCAAAAATTCACACACGAAGACCACAAGTATAAATTATAGACTTTCCTTGTCCAGATTTTCAACAGAATAATTCTTCTTACTAGTTTTTAAATGTCTATGATCCTATCTTGAAATTATTTTTTAAATAAAAAGTAGTAAAATCCTATACACTAAATCACAAAATACACTAAAGCACATCCACACCAATACTAAGAAAATAAGGTTATAAAATTAGATACCCTGGCACCAAAAAGAAAAAAATCTGCCAGGTCTTTACACAAACCCTTAAATCTTTTTCTGAAATTCAGTTATTGGATAGGAAATGTGTACAAAAGAAACAAGTATTTATAAGCCTCATTTGTTTTGTGTTAATATGGGTATCATACAACCTATCCATTACATTCCTAAGTATGGCATATACTCAAGAAAAATGAAAACATATGTCCATACAAATACTTGTACACAGCAAGCTTGTTCAAAGTAATAATTATTAGACAGTGGTAAGGGAAAATAAAGAGTACTCTGTTTGATAGCAAAACTATAAATAAATGACAAACTGTAAATTTACATCTTATAATGCTTAACTTTATGTGTCAATGGGGCTAGGCCATGGCATCAAGATATTTGGTCAAATGTTTTTCTAGATGTTTCTTTGAAGGTATTTTTTTGGATGAGATTAACATTTAAATAAGCAGATTTTTTGTATGTGGACCTTATCCAGTTGAAAGTCTAACAGATAAAAGCCTGACTGCCTTGGACAAAGAGAAAATTCAGTCAGCAGACTGCCTTTGGACTTGAACTGCAACATCAACCCTTCCCTGGGTCTCCAGTCAGCCTGCCTATCCTACAGATTTTGGATTTGCCAGCCTCCACAATTGTGTAAAACAATTGTTTAAAATAAATCTCTCTCATGAATGTGTGTGTGTGTGCACGCGCACACACTATTGGTTCTGTTTTCCTGGAGAACGCTGAAAATAAACCCCTTAAATATAATGAATAAAATTACTTTTTATCTTGTAGAGAATGAGCATTAAAAGATACCAAATAAAGAATCTGTAACAGAAGATCAATGTGCGTTTGAGCCTAGGAGTTCAAGACCAGCCTAGGCAACACGGTGAGACTTTGTCCACCTTGTCTCTACAAAAAAATTTTAAAAATAAGCTGGGCATGGTGGTACATGCCTGTAATCCCAGCTACTCAGGAGACTGAGGAAGGAGGACCCCTTGAGCCCAGGAGGTCAAGGCTGCAGTGACCCGTGATCGTACCACTGCACTCCAATCTGGGTGACACAGTGAGAAGTGTCTCAAAAACAAACAAACAAAAATCCCTGTGTGAATTTATTATAACTCGATAATTAAATTAGTTTCTGTAGCTGATGATTAAGCAAAGTAGTTGCTAAACTTTTGTCGCCCAGACACTTTTTCATTAAACAAAAGATTTTAAACTTCCTTATGTGTAAAATATAAGTATTCTGTTTTTGTTGTTGATCACCGTTATGGACCAAATAATTGCATATACCCAAAATTCTTATGTTGAAACCCTACCATTAGTATTTGGAGACAGAGTCTCTAAGGAAGTAATTAGGGTTAAATGCAGTCATAAGAGTGGGTCCCTAATCCAGTAGGAGTAATGTTGTTGTAAGAAGAGACACCAGAGAGCTCACTCATGCTCTCTTTCTCTCTCTGCTACGTGAGAACACAGCAAGGAAGAGGATGTAGGCAACCCAAGAGGAGAGTCTTTACCAAATACCAACCCCACTGGCATCTTGATCTTGGACTTCCCACCTCCAGAACTGTGAGAAACAAATATTTGTTGTGTAAGCCATCCAATCATGGTATTTGATTATGGCAGCCTAAGCAAACTAATACAACGCTGAGTCTGAAGTGGGAGGTGGTGGAAGTGATATTTTAAAGGAAAGATAGAGAGCTTGTCTTGGATTACAACTGAACACTATTTAATACTATTCTACAACCTAAAGATAATTCTGCTAAAGAAGGCAACAATACAGTAGCTCTATAATAGCATTCACCATACAAAATACTGGAATCATTTATCTGTCTTCACAAATTAAATAGTAACAAACAGTAACACAGCCTCTATAATTAAAGATTCATTGAAAAAAATGCATGATAATGGGTCTTAAATCTTAACTCATTTCAAGCTATAAACTCATTTCATATGTAAGTTTCAGTAATACTTTTCATACTTAAGAAGCTTTCAAATATTTCCAAACTAATCCCTTATATGAAATATATCAAAAACTCTTGATATATTAACTCTTACCGTAACCCGTTCCTTTGGTCAAAAGCAGGAATCATAGAGTTAGGGTGTTCTGACATTAATGCAACAAGCAGCTGTAGGACATCCATTAGATTGTCATCCTATAATCATTTTAGAAATTTTTTTTAATGAGGAAAAAAACAACTTAGTTGAATACTAAATACTTCTAAAATAGAAATTTCAGCATCAGAAATATAAGTAGACATATCTGTGATAGTTATTTTTAACAAATTATGTTATTTAAATGTACACATTCACCTCTGTAACTCCAAATATACCTAAAATAGCAAAACAACTTCTTTTTCTGTGCAGAGGGACAGAGTCTCACTCTCTCACTCAGGTTGGAGCTCAGTGGTGTGATCTCAGCTCACTGTAACCTCTGCCTCCCAGGTTCAAGCAATTTTTGTGCCTCAGCCTCCCTGGTAGCTGAGACTACAGGTGTGCACCACCACATCTAGCTAATCTTTGTATTTTTGGTAGAGACAAGGTTTCACCATGTTGACCAGGCTGGTCTCGAACTCTTGGCCTTAAGTGATCTGCCCACCTCAGCCTCCCAAAGTGCTAGGATTACAGGTTGAGCCACTGTGCCTGACCTCAAAACAATTTCTTTGGTTTTTTTTGGTGGTTGTTGTTTTTTGAGACGGAGTCTCTCGCTCTGTCACCTCCTGGGTTCATGCCATTCTCCTGCCTCAGCCTCCGGAGTAGCGGGGACTACAGGTGCCTGCTACCACGCCTGGCTAATTTTTTGTATTTTTAGTAGAGACGGGGTTTCAACATGTTAGCCAGGATGGTCTCAATCTCCTGACCTCATAATCCTCCCAACTCGGCCTCCCAAAGTCCTGGGATTACAGGCATGAGCCACCACACCCGGCTTCAAAACAATTTCTTTTTTTTTAATTTTTATTTTTTATTTTTTATTTTTTGAGACGGAGTCTCGCTCTGTCACCCAGGCTGGAGTGTAGTGGCCAGATCTTAGCTCACTGCAAGCTCCGCTTCCCAGGTTCCTGCCATTCTCCTGCCTTAGCCTCCTGAGTAGCTGGGACTACAGGCGCCCGCCACCTCGCCCAGCTAGTTTTTTGTATTTTTTTAGTAGAGACGGGGTTTCACCATGTTAGCCAGGATGGTCTCGATCTCCTGACCTCGTGATCCGCCCGTCTCGGCCTCCCAAAGTGCTGGGATTACAGGCTTGAGCCACCGCCCAAAACAATTTCTTAATCAAAGAAATAAAATGCCTTTTATGTTATACTGAATCAAGATTTTGTAAAACATAACCTATAGAAACAGTATATCCAACATTATTGTTTTTTAAGGAAGGCTTAAAAATTGTGGGGAAGGGTTATTCTTTATTACAGAAAAATATATTAGAGCTTCTAAAATGCTAATAAATGTTGCAAATCTGGTGGTAGTGGTAGGGGCAAGATATTATGTATCATTTTTTAAACTTATCTGACTGAAATATTTTATTCACTGTGCCTCTCCAGAAACTAGTTCTAAAAGAACGCTTTGTAGGAAATGATAACCGGATCGTTTTTATATACAGTCCTATTGTCACTATGAAGAGAAACAATAAATGTTTACTTCATCAACATACCACTAATATGTGGTAGTATTTGTTAATGTTTACAGAATAACAGCACAGGAACATACATGAGTTCTAGATCCCAAAAAAATCTTCATAAAAATCCTTCACTACTTTTGTTGCATACACCAATATGTATGCATATCATTAGAGCCAACTTGGACAATACTGACCCAAAAAGGAAAAGGCAAACAGCTAACAGAATTTAGTTTACTTGGTTGCCCTAACTCTAGTTTTCCTTCACTGCTTTGGAATTTTTGCTATGGAAGCTACTTATATACCTAATTTTCAGTAAGTTAAACAGATGATCTAGAGCTAGGACACTGAATCTTTGAAAGTGTTATTCACAGGACCTGAAATTTTCCTAACAATAAGGAATCACTGTGACTTCCAGTTTACCTCATGTAAAGTACTTTATTCAGTCCTTTAGGGTTAATAAAAACAAAATCACATATATAGATCACATGAAATTCACCTGAAAATTCTTAAAATATTATATTTGGTCAGAAAAATCTAAAAATTAATAGGATTGCCTATTCAAGAGGAAAAAATATAATCATTAATGATTTTGAGTCAAATATTACTCACAAAATTTAAGCCATTCTTTTATACTTGAGTTAACAAAGAGATCCAATCATTATCCCTTATTTAAAAATTAAAGAAGGCACTACTCCATACTAAAATATATTAATTCACAAGATATTAATTATAATATAGGAGTACAAATTATCATTTAAAATGCTATGATATATTCCATCAATTCCTAAGTTTTACTAACTATAGGTAAAAATCTAACTAAAAAGAGATGATTTAGTTAGATTGCAACTGACATATATTGCGTTTTCCTGCTACTAAAAAATAAAAAGAAAAACAGATATTTCAACCTATTTAATTTTCAACCTTCTTTTCAAACACATAATTTTAAATCCCATTATAAATGAGTTGTTTAATATTTGAACATGTAAAGTCAGTGGGAAGATTGTGTTACGAATTTTTAAAACCTAATCATTTTTAGTCATTTTCATAACCTATTTTTTCATTTGTTACACCGGTTTCTGGAAATACACTGAAAGTATGCTTTGGTATACTTTATTATTAATTCAATGAAATCCAATGTTAGTACTTTTTAAAGCTTTTCATGATGATTCTCAAGATTCATCTTGTGGTAATAAAGGATATTTAAATAAAGATTGCTAGGGCTTAGTTCCTAAGTAGACACATTTATTCCCCATTACACTTACATAATTATTGAAGATTTCTTTAAATTTTTACTTTTAAAAAAGTCTAATGTAGCTTCAAAAATTAAAATTTCAAAATATAAAATTCAAATATTACCTCATGCATAGTCAGTAGGTAATTAAGAATGGCCTGTAATTCATCTTCCTTTACTCCAGAATCCTTCAAAAACATAATACAGGTATCTTATGTTTACGTGTAAAAAAAAGTTTAAAGAGAAATTATATACATAGATTTGTCAAGTTGGTCAGCTACTATAAATATAAAAATGTAATGTAACAGAGAATCTAAATGTAAAACAAAAATCTGGGGAGGCACTAAAGACATCAATGCTCCAGACCACGTAGAGGTCAAAAGAGATTTAACATCAGCTTCCTGTTTTCAACACCTTGTATAATATGATAGCCCACTTACTAAAGCTACGGAATCCTGAAGTCAGCAAAAATAATAAGTAATGATAAATTAAAAAGTAATATCCACACCTAATATGCCTCTAAATACAGAAGACATCTTTTTGACTTAAATTAAATGTGGAGAATAAAATGAACAGTTTCTGAAATTATCAAGTTAAAATGTCAAGTACCTAAAAATTAATTAGTAATTTCACTGGGGGAAAAAAAAAAAACACTGCACTTTTAAATATGAGCTCATTATGAAAATTTTCAACCTGTTCTATGAGTATATTAATCACTAAAAAAGCTGCAATCTTAAAAAAAAAACCACACAAGAAGAAAAGAAATTGGAAAATAAAAACAGTACCCATTGGGAACGAGCAACAAAACGAAGACAATTCAAAGGATACTTTTTTTAAATAAATGGAAATAAGGTATATGAATCTGAAAGGTATACTAAAAGTTAGGTTCACTTGCCATAATCTTATGTGACAACTAATAAAGCATTATAAAATCATATAGGAAAATACTGACAAAATACTGGTAACAACTACATTTATATATTGCTATCTTATAAAACCAAAATGCCTTTTTTAGAATGGTAAATTTTACTTTACCTGTAATACAATGAAAAGGGACTAAATATGACCACTTTTAAAGGCTCATACACCTACCTGGTACATTTATACAGAAATACGATTTCTCAAAATCTGAATGTCAGGTACAAGGAGCCTGCTAAAAATGAAACCTCCTTCAGGAGTATAGTGCCAAATACTAACAGAAACGTAGTAAATATTTGCAGAATGAATGAACACACTTGAGCTACTAAAGAAATTTATATAACATAAAATACAACTACCAATCCCTAATTCTGCAACAATTTATATCCATATAGGCTCCAAAAAAGAACCAAAACAAACATGGAAACATCTTTCAAAGTATTTTCCAATGTGTAACCATAGTAACCAAGCAAAGAATAAATAAAACAAGATTGTATTTCATGTGAAATTATAAGCCACAATACACAGTATGCTACGGAATAAGGAATGTGAACTCACCTTCATCACTAATTGCTTAATGAACATCAACAAGAATGCTCGTAGAGAAAGTATTTCTTTTTTACTAGGTCGCGGTCCATCTTTTAAAAAATACACATACACAGTTAGTATTTAAAGGACCTCAATGCTGTCAAAGTATAAAATTCTTATTCCCAAGAGTTTTTCCATTTGTTTGTAAGAAACATAAAGGTCAGTCTCCTACAGAATGACCTCTTTTATGCCTCTAGAAAGACAAGTGTTCAATCTTACACGCACTGTATACACAATATTTCAAACATACATACAGGTTATGTTGAAACTACAATGAAGAAGTACTTTGAATAGGTCAAAGAATGTCTAAAACATAAAAATGAGGTAACAAATAAAATTTGTATTCAATAATAAGACACTTATTTTAAGACTCTGAGAGTATTAGTAAGGTAACAGAAGTTTACAAAGAAAAAAACAAAGGAAAATCTAAACTTTCAACATTATTATTATATATGAATTCAGTATGACAAAATTTTTCTACTGTTATCATTATATAAGATAATACAAAAATCTTAAAAAGAATGCCTCACCACACGGTATCATTCATGAAGAAGGGAAATACTATGTTGACTGCCTCTGACATCTCCTCTGCTTGGAAAAGTCCTTGGTCACACATGGCTCACATTAAATCAATTTTCATGTCTCAAACATATAATTTCCAAGTAGAAAGCTTTTGGAAACCAAACACTCATTGCTCTAAGATCCTAAGTTAGGAACCTGTTTGCTCATATATTTTATAATTTTCCCCCCACTAATCACTATTTACAGATAGTTCCTAGACCACCAAAGCATAGGACCACCATGACCTTGAACAGATCAATGAAAATAGGAAGAAAATTGTTTAAAATTTGTTCCATATGATTCCTAGACAAAAAAAAATAAGACTATAAGAGTAGAGTTAGAATAGGATCACAAAATTTGTCCAGTTCTCTCATTTGAAGAATGAGACTTTCCCAAGGTCACTAATCAGTTATAAAAGGCAGGCAAGAATACAAAACTAGCACCTAGGACAGTACATGCATGATACACCTACAGCACCATGAAACAGTCATGAGAAAATTCTGACCCGGTTCTAGATCTGCCACAACCTTGCCAGCTTAAAAAGTTCATAGCTTGCTAGATTACAGATACCAGATTCTCTGAGGCTAAACCAAGCTTATTTTGAAAGTGATATTAAAAGTAGTATGCCAATGTGAAAATCTTTGTAAATCACTAAACAACCAAAGCCTCTTACTATAATGAGAATGTATGTTATTGACTCCCCAGCATCTATTTCTTAATTTCAAGCAACACCCCTTAATTTTTATCAAGTGACTGAAGTCATCTTCACTTTCAGACCATGTCTTTCAAGGTAGAGGATGCCTCCATTTCTAAGCAATCAGAGCAATTACAACCACAGAAATGGGCACATGATATAATCAAAGCCAATGAGCAAGAGAGAGACTAAAAGAGACTTTCACTGGAAACACTTTATATAGGCAGATGCTCTTACACTGGATTTAAGCTGTTATGGATGTGAAAGTGGACCAGCTGCTTACTACTACAAAGGGAGCGAGTATGTGAAAACAGTCATCACAAAAGAACTGGTAAACGCAGCGAGACAAATTCAGTCCTATGGTCATACTCAGAATACCTGTATCAAGTTGTATCTGAAACTGCCAGTTTACACGAGCTGATTACCTCCCTTTATGATGCAAGCCAATTCCAAGAAGACTGCTATAGTTACAAACAAAAGAGCCACTCTATGTCAAAAGTTTTATTTTGATCCCTTATATGAACTGCTGGTCATGTTGAATGAATATTACCCTTTCAGCAAGTTAGTCCTCATTATGTAAGAAAACAATTACTAATATTTTGTAATTTCATTATATCTTTAAGAGAAGCAGATAACTCCTACTTTTGTAAGAAACCCCCATATTCCCAAAACATCATTTTCAAGGAATCTCATTGTGACAATCCGTCTCGCATCAATTACTAAAAACTAATTAAAAATTTCTTGGCATTTTCAGTGCCTTACAACAACCATCCTAGTCATATCAGCTCCCCAAAAAACTCACATCAGCACAAGTAGTATTCTTCCATACAAGTAGCAAGTTATTAAACTCTAGAAACCACAATTTAGGACAAACTATTAACATTATCAATGAGATTAAAATAAAATTTTGCCACAATGGAATATAGAAAAGCTGCCCAAATACATGATCGTACTGGTTGAAACAAAAAGAAAAATTAAATCCTGATTTGCATTTGTGTAAACAAATATACAGACAGAAATTATATACCTAATCCTTTTGGGGTAATACCACTTCGATCCTGAGGATTCACTGCCCAGTAGTAGTACTTCAGCGTGTGCATGATGAGAAGCACTGTTCCAACTCTCCGAATGGTGTTATATATGTTGACTGTACCAATGAATTCCGTGGACAGATAAGTATAGAGCATCAATTGAACCTACAGAATAAAAATGAAGAACTTAGAGAACCCCACTAGCATTTTATCTGTTTCCAGTAACACTTTCAGGCTGTTTTATTTTCACCATGCTTCTTCCAAAAAGTAAAATGCTGAGCCTGATAATAATATTCATATTAGGTAACACATACCCATTGACACACAAGCACATGCACACACACTCCTTATAAAACCAAACCAGGTAATTTCTTCTTTTATAGAAGCATTATCAAATATGGAAACTTTTTGCTGCATTATTCCATGGAAATAACTTTGTGATTCCTATTTAGCAACCAGCAATTATTCCTAAGCATGTGTAACCTCTTTATAATAGACTTATTACTTATGCTATCTATGCATAGTTGTTTGAAAAATCTAGAATTTCTTTCAAATATAACATTTGCAGAAAATCAGGAGCTGAAATGACTCCAAAGAAAAAGTACTAGTAACGCAAAAGGAAAAAACAAATAGAACTAAACCAAAAGAAAACCATAGAAAAAGATATAGAGTTTAACTGAGGAGTATTAGAAAAACAGAATTCTGTGACAGTAGCTCATTACAAGAAACATTCCAATCTAGCATTTTCATTATAACATTATAATCTCTCAACATGTGTAAAATGTCCCCTAACTTGGAAAGGATTCTACTAATCTCATTGATAAGTAGTTTAAAAAATACATAAGGAGTTACATATTTTTATATTAACTTCAAAATATCACCTCTTCATATGTAAGAGAAAGAAATAATACAAGTGCTACCCCACCACTGCACATTTCATCTCAACAAAAAATTGGCCACCCCGGTGGTTCACGCCTGTAATTTCAGCACGTTAGGAGGCTGAGGCGGGCAGATCACTTGAGGTCAGGAGTTTAAAAGCAGCCTGGCCAACATCGTGAAACTTCGTCTCTACCAAAAAATACAAAAATTAGCTGAGCATGGTGGTACACACCTGTAGTCCTAGCTACTCAGGAGACCGAGGCAGGAGAATCTCTTAAACCCAGGAGGTAGAGACTGCAGTAACCCGAGATAGTGCCACTGCACTCCAGCCTGGGCGACAGAGTGAGACCCTGCCTCAAAAAAAAAATTTTTTTTTTAGTGAAATTATGGGTCTGAAACTCATCAACTATACTCCATTACTTAGAGCAGCAAAAATAACGACTGCTTTTGCTCTACTCTCATGTTGAAATCAAGAATTTTTCATTTTATTGCTAGACGGTATATTTTATAAGCTGAACAACTTTAAGTATAGGACATATATTCTGCCCTTGACCATAGACCAAACTACTGATCATTTATAATTGAACATTTATGTTACCTTCCTGGACAACGAGGGCATCTTCCTTTTCAAACCTGCAAGGTACCTCAGTGTCACCTAGGGACTTCTTTAGAGAGCAAAAAAGTAGGTACCTATCTTCCAGGTGCCCTACAGATAAACAATCAAGGCTAAATCAATTAGAGTGTCAGTGAATAAATCTAACATGGTAAAAAGTGGCAGGTTCTGAACCACTTAAAAGCAGGGTTTGGAAGATCATTGTAATTCACAAAACCATATATGTGTCTATATGTATACAAATACATTGTGATCTACTGATTTGCTGCAAAATGTTATTTTGATGTAGCTACTGCTGTTCAAATTGATAGACCCAATCCACTCCTCATTGAGACAATGTGACGTGGCTCAAATTCTTAACCATGTTGTTCCAGTCCTTTAGCAAATATTTACATCTAACTACATGCATAACACTGTATCATGGAAATACAATGGCACGTATGCTGTCCCTAAGTAGCTGAAATACAATTGAAAAGATTTTAAAAAAAAATACACTTATATTTAAGCAAAATAAATCAAAGATAATAAATATGCCCACCAAAACATGAAAAAAGTCATGAAGCAATATGTAACTGAGTAACATACAGCTCTGAAATATTATTAATTCAGAGGACAGATAAATTATTATAGAATAAACTGAAATCGTAAAGAAAAGCTTCACTAAGAAAGTAGGCATTAAGATAGGCTTTGAAGATGAGTAGTAGAATAGACAGACAGAATACAAGAGAAAATTTCAAGCAAGAAAAATGATGGTTGAAATAAAGGTTTCCCTAGAGTTAGAACAACAGTTCTCAATCTTGACTGCACATTAAAATAACTGGAAAACTTTTTTTTTTTTTTTTAATACTGATGCCTGAGTCCCATCTCAGTGAGGCAGGAGAATAGGGTCTAGAGGCAGGGAACCTAAGGACTTCCTAGAACTAAATCAAATGGAAACACTATAGCTATGACAAGAAATATCCTCTCCATTTACATAGGGCATACACCGAGTAAATGACTTTGTAACTTTACTGCATTGTCTTCATTTACATAGGGCCTACAGCAAGCAACCAGTGGAAACCTCTAGAGGTTATTTAAACCCCCGGAGATTCTGTAACAGGGCTCTTGAGCCCCTATGCTCAGGCCTGTTCCCACACTGTGGAGTGTACTTTCATTCAATAAATTTCTGCTTTTGTTCCTTCATTCTTCCCTTGCCTTGTGCATTTTGTCCAATTCTTTGTTCAAGACACCAAGAACCTGGACACCCTCCACGAGTAACACCATATTGACGAAATCAGAATCTGCAGTGGAAGTGGTGGGATTCTATATTTGTCTGTTTTTATAAACCTACCCCAACTTATTCTATTAGCAGTCAAGACTGAGAACCACCACTATAGGGAAACCTTTTGGTACCTCCCTATCCACTGAGGATATTTCCATTTTTAAGCTAGAAAATCTAGAAATAATAATTGACATGAAGTCCTCAATGGGAAACCATTAAAACTTCTGGGGCTAAGGAATGATAAGAATCATATCTTAGAAAAATATTGGGGTTGGGCATGGTGGCTCAAGACTGTAATCCCAACACTTTCTGGGGCTGAGAGAGGAGGATTGCTTGAGGCCAGAAGTCTGAGACCAGCCTAAACAACAAAGCAAGACCCCGGTCTCTACAAAAAAATGTAAAAAGTTAGCTGGGAATGGGAATGGTGGTGCACACCTGCAGTATCAGCTACTCAGGAGGCTGAAGCAGGAGGACTGATTGAGCCCAGGAGTTCAAGGTTGCACTGAGCCATGGCCATGCCACTGCACTCCACCCTGGATGACAGAACAAGACTCTGTCTCAAATAAAAAAAAGAACATGTTGCAACTCTGGCAGAATAGTGACAAGTTAGACAAAGAAATGGAAAACTGGAGAAAGTTAGTCTATTGAGAATGATACTGTGGTAAAAGAAAAATGAACAGAGGCTGGGCCTAATGGCTCACACCTGTGATCCCAGCACTCTGGGGGGCTGAGGCAGGTGGATCACTTGAGCCTAGGAGTTTGAGACCAGCCTGGGCAACATGGCAAAACATCATCTCTACAAAAAAATACAAAAATTAGCTGTGTGTGGTGGTATACAGCTACAGTCCCAACTACTCAGGAGGCTGAGATGGGAGGATCACCTGGGCTGGGGAGGCAGAGGTTACAGTGAGCTGAGATCACACCACTGCACTCCCACTTTGGTGACACAGTGAGACCCTGTGTCAAAAAAATAAATAAATAGAATTTAGTAGCAACATATAGAGATGAATGAAAGACCTCAAGATTACTCATATGCTAATTATGAATAAACCTTCCCTCATTCACTCATTATGTACTCCAACAGCCACACAAATTGTGTGTTAACATCTGTCTTTCCTACTAAATCTAAATTCTACGAGAGCAAGTATCAAGTCTATCTTGCTCACCACCATAAAGTAGTCACTGAACAAATATCTGTTGAGTACACAAAGGACCATGGCAGACAAGAAAATTCATCTCTCCTGCTAGGTCATTAAAAAGATGGTCTCTGAGCAGATCTAAGATAAATGGAAACTACAAATCGCTGGTAGCTCCCTTTTCAAAAAGCAAAGCTTTTCACATCCACACATCCAGACCTTCAACTTTTACCCAGAGGTGGATTGACCACGAAGCTGATAAAGCTTAAACTTTATGACCACTGATCTATAAATGTTTCTTCCAAGACCCTAAACCCAATTTTCTATGCATTATATTGTATTCTTCTTAAAAAATTTCCCACATGATAAACATTTGACCTTCAAGTCAAACAAAATTTGGATCTGCCCTTTTTTATGACTGTCTTTACAAGAAAATAAAAGTGGATAAAACCCCTTGTGGATACATAAAGCAGATGGCTAAAACAGGAGAAAATGTTAATATTATCAACTCAACTGCAAATTCTAAAAAGAAAATTGAGGAAAGTTATTAAAAGTAGAAGATAAGAAATAGGGTAAAATAATCCTAGGAAACTAAGAAAATCATAAGATGAATTTTTTCTAATTCCCCTCCAACTAAGTATCTAATAAGAGGCTTTCTGACCACATCAAAAGAGACACAAAGCCTTACAAATATGCTGATCAGTAGACAAAAAAGCGTCTAGTAAAAGATTTAAAAAGTAACTTGAAACAATCCTCAAAAAGAAATAAGACTGAGGGTCATGGAAGAAAATGAGGTCAAATTTGACCTGGAGATAAAAAGCTACAACCTCCAGCTGCCTCTTTTGATTATTTCCAAATGGAAATCAGAGTCAGCAGCTGTTTTTCTCTTTAACATTTTAAAAGACCAGCTGAAAATAAGATATTAAGACTCTAGAAAAGCAAAAAAAAGTCTGCAGACTTTTTTCTGACAACTAGAATAAGTAGGTGCTATTCCAACTTAAACAATGATACACACTGCAAGTGGACCAAAAGGCAGAAGGGGAGAGAGGAAAACTGGGCTTGAAATAACACAACTTCTAACAAAAATTGTAGATAAGATAGATACAATTATGCAATTTAAAAAAATGCTCTGTTTCAAGTTATGCTTAATACTGCCACTACTGAATTTTTAGGACAATGTATTACAACATTAGGATTTATTAAAGATTTTGTTCATACACCTTATCACAAATTCATTTACATTCACATAGAGCTAATTGGTTTGTTGTTACAAAACTGAAAAAAAAATTTGCACAAATGTTTTTATAATTTGAATTAATGTGAAACTAAAATGATTACATAAGACTAGTATATCATGCCTTCAAGGAAAAAGTGACATTTCAGCGGTACCTGTAAGAATGAAACTCAGTAGTTCATCACGTTGGAAGGCAAAAGTGTGAAGTAAAAAAGAGAGAGAGCAGGAGCAGGGTGAGTTCTTAAGAAACAGGAAAAAAAAAGAAAAAAATATATATGCATATTTACAACGGAACAAAGCTACAGTTACTAGGAAACATTATTAATTACATTAAAATTGTCTAACTTTGATTTACATTTAGTAAATGAAGTCTCTCTCAAATAAAACTTTATTTCATTTAATTTCAGAAAATAAGGACTATACCTGTATCTTTTAAATAATGACATTTACACAGAATATATTTTTTGTATGCGTGTATATATTCTTTGTATATATTAATACACACACACACACACACACACACATATACACATACAGATTTGCAATTTTTCCTGAGGAGTAAAAAAGGATGCTTAGTCAAAAAAAGCAATCTACTGAAGTCTTGCAAAATAGTACATAAAAAAAAAGAAAATCCTCTTAATTATCACACTTCTCAAGCACAAAAACAGCAAAGATAGTAAAACAATATCAATATATAGATATATATTACCTTGGCTGGGGTATGAATCCATATGGCAGGATTAAGAAGAACGTGATCACACAACTGCTTGAGCAGGGGCATCCCATTCTGCAGATTACTCAGATATTTTGAAAATGCAAGGCAAAGTTCAAGTACTGCTCTGCTGACGTGAGATTTGGAAGACTGCAAAAAAGGTAGTTCAAATGTTATTACAAATTCAAGTCAAAGTAAGTGAATTACAGGCTATCCCTACCAGGAAAAAAGTTATGCTCAAAGTTAAAGATGCCATGAAGCTCACTATCACATTTGTTTAATAGAGGAATGGAGGCAAGGTAAAACAACAAAATGTTATTTTAGTTTAGGTAATTTTCTGTAACCAAGGAGACATTCTTGCAGACAGAATTCCTTGGCCACTTAGAGAACAAATGTATGGCCTGTAAATTAAGAATCAAAAACATAAAATATACTTTACCTTTTCAAGGCTATATCCTATTACCAAGAAGCCCTTACAGGCAAGCATCTGCTCCTGCATAGCAATTGAGTTCTTCAACAATTCCATGATAAAGGCCAGCAAGGTTGAACTACAATTTTTTAAAAAGGCAATGATTAAAAAACATATTCTATTTTTTTAAATTAGGTTAGATAGATGTAACCCTTCCATTCACCTTAATAAAAAGTTCTCCATTTCAAAGAAATTGAAGCTCCACTAAAACTGCTTCCAATATTACATCAGAACTAGATTTTTAATGTAGGACTAGGAGTTACTCAAATATTTATTTCATATACTTTATCCCAAACACATTAATAGGTGAATTACTTAGAAACAATGACAAATGTGCATGATATAGAGAAAAATGAGCAACTTCCAAAACAACCAATAACAAATACTTATTAAAAGTATAGTAAGGCCTTAAAGAACAGATATAACTTAGATAAGCAAGCATATTCAACTTTGAAGTGTTAGGGGCCAAAAGGTGAGAAAAGACAGTGGAGCAAAAAGAGTAAGGTATAAATCCTCAAAATGTGTTAGGGCTCCAGACTTGCCCAGTCTGAATGGAGCAGAGGGCACATGAAGAGAAAGATGAGAAAGTTAACTTGGAGGCAAACCTGAGGTCGTTGAACACTAATTTAAGAAGTTTGTTCATTATCCCAACAACAAAATTATACTTCTTCAGTCAGTCTTGAACACTTTTAAAACTGAACAGGGGCTACAACCATGCTCTACTACCTACAATTTTTAAAGATTCCCAGAAGGGAAAGGAATAAGGTCAGTTGTTACTGCCTTCTCAGAGAGAAGTCCCACCAAAAAAAAAAAGAGAGAGAGAAAGCATGACCAGCAGCCAATCTCCACCTCCACATCAGTGCTTTCACTGCCAGCAATTTCAATAAGG